CTGTTGCAGGGGTGGAGAGTGTGTCCTGGGACCTACCTGGCTGACACCCCTCTTAGAATGGGTGTTGACGATGGCAGACAGAGACACCTTCCTGGTGTGCCTAAGCGTGTCACCGACAGCACAGCCTCTGACCTGCTGTCTGTCAAACTGAAAATGAGTGTGACATCAGCTAAGTGTCACCCATGGGGTGGCCTCGAGATCCCTGCCCCGGCTGTGAAACCCCCTTGGGGGCTGTGGCCGGCATGGGGCGGGATAGAAAATGTGGTGCGTCCAGGAGAGGCCGCTGTCCATTCTGCGTGCCCCTTCCAGGGGCTTCTTGGTGGTTCCCATGAAGGCCTGACGTAGACCCATCAGGCAAAGGGTGTGGCCGTGGAAGATGCAGATCTGGAGCTCCGAGGAGGTGTGCTGGGCCTCGGGCCTGCACATCTTCATCTGCACACGGTGTCCCCGTGGCCCCAGAGGGCTCCAGGCTGTGCACTGGCCTCGGGCAGCACACGGGAGGGACAGACCCGTGGCTCAGCCTGACTTTGTTCGGCTTCCAGATCCCTGCCCCCCGCGTGCCAGTGAGCTTGCAGCTCCTTGTGCTGGAGGGTGCTTCTCCCTGATGGCGGTTTTGGTTGAGCAGCATTTTATTTAAAAACCTGTAAGGGGACATCTGGGTGGCTTAGTGGGTTAAGCGCCCGACTTCAGCTCAGGTCATGATCTTGAGGTTGGTGAGTTTGAGTCCTGCATCAGGCTCTGTGCTGACAGCTTGGAGCCTGCAGCTGCTTCAGATTCTGTGTCTCCCTCTCTCTCTGCCCCTCCCCCACTCACACTTTCTCCCTCTCTCTCTCTCTCTCTCTCTCTCTCTCTCTCTCTCTCTCAAAAATAAACATTAAAAAAATTAAAACAAAAACAAAAACATAAGGATTTGCTTCCTGAGATAAGGAAATCATCTGAACTGAGTTCACGACGTGACATGATCCAGTTGTGCCCTGATCCAGGAACAAATGACCATTGGAAACGTCCAGGATGATGTGCTGTGAAAGCCAGAGCCGGCCACACAACCAGTGTAGACCCCAAATCACAGAGCCTGCCCCCACGTGGGCCCTGCCCCGCCCCCCAGCCTCCCGTGTCACCCTGACCTATGAGCTCTCGTGGGCTCCTTTGCAGCCTCCGTGTCCTCCCCACTCAGTCTGGATTTCCCCGTTTGTGGCCTCCTTTCTCCTTGTTCCATCTGCACACACTTTGCTCTTGGCTCGGAGATTGCTGGATGGGCTCGGTGACGTGGGAATCCCGCCCACCTGTGTTGCCGAAATAACCCCACGTGCCACTCTACTATGGACACAGAGAAGACCTCACGTTGTGTTTCGATGGAAAATAAACGGAAGCCTCCAGGTGTGGACTTTCAGGCAGATACAGATATGGCAGAGGGCCTCTGCTGCTAGACCCCACTGACGTGCCTTTCTCAAGGTCCTATCTCCCTCTGAGCAAGGCCCCAGGTTCCCAGGAAGCAGCAGGGACAAGCCTCTGAACCCAAATTCGAGGCTTCTCCCAGTGCACTGGGGCTCCCTAACCCAGGACAGTCGCCGCCACCCAACTCTGCACCTACTGCAGGCCCTTGTCACAGCCACAGGCAGCCACTGCTGTGGAAAGTCAAGGATCGACGCCCCTTCGAGTGGACAGGTGCGGCCAGGTATGGCCCAACCCCTGTTAGGAAATTGTCCTCAACCAAAGCAGGTTCTAAGTCACTTTGCCAGAGGGGACTTTGTAGGCCAGTCTCACCGTGTCGGGAAGAAAGATCTAAAGAGGAGACACTCGCACCACCCCTGCCCTCCGGCTGCAGCCCAGAGGGGCCAGGCCCGGTGGCTCCGGTACAAGCAGGTTGTGGCAGTTGGGGCCTCTCCCCTTAGTCCTCATCTGGAGCTGAGCCGGGTCCCGGGGCGGCTAAAGGTCATGAGCGAGGCTAAGTGGGCTGTGCACCACCTGTCATGTGCTGGGTGCAACTGTCTTTCTAGATGGCTCCCAGAGCCACGCTGAACCCTGGCCCTGGGGGCCTTCTCAGTGCCCGTGCCCCGCGTCAACCTCCGTCAGACGTGACCCTGTGACAGGCTCCTCGCCCGGGGCTCTCCCCTCACGTCTGGCCCAGACAGGAAGCGGGTAGCTATCTGTGAGACATTGTGTTCACACAGAGAGGTTCTGTGCAGGAGCGGGGCCTCGCCTGACCTTTTCAATGAGCCGGCGGGTGGGGCGACCCCCTTCCTGTCCGGACTGCTGACATCTGAGGCTTGCTCCTTCTCCCGTGGGCTCCCCCACTTCCTGCTGGACCAGCAGTGTCCTGTCCTCTGCCACAAACTGCAGACCCACCCTTCTGAACGAGGAAGCAGGGTGGGCAGAAGCGGCACTTCGGGGTTGGGGGAGACATGCCCAGTGCACCCGGAGACCCAGAGCCCGCGGGCTTGACGAAGCCGCCAGGTGACCGTGACGAAAACTACTGCCATGGTCCTTACTTATTTCCAGCTTTATGAGGGGTGGCCAGTGACCATGTAAGCCATAGTGACCTTTAGACGGAGTCCGTTTGTGCGGATTCTGCTGTTTCCAGTGCAGGCTGCAGAATAACACCGTCGTTCAACCTGGAACGGCGCCTTAGACCTGCGGCATGCTGTCGGAGCAAGTTCTGCGCCCAAAACCTCACCCGCGTGGAATCCACAGTGAGGCTGCAGGCAGACGCACTGCCGTGGTCAGCTATCTGTGGGCTCCGGAAATTCTGCACCAGCCTGCGTGCCGACTTAGCTGGATTCCAGTGCTGCTCCGGGAAGTCGCCCTCTCATGCGCCTCCTGCTTCCCCTGTCCCACACAAGTTCTTTGTGCCCCTGTCACAGGGGCCGCTGGGCCGGGTCCTGGGCTTGAGCAGTAGGCTGCAGGCTCTCCAGCCAGTGTGCAGGATGCCGTGAGGCCTGGCCCAGGCCAGGAGGTGGAGAAAGGCCTCCCTGAAGAAGTGACATCTTGGCCAGGAAGTGAGTAATACTGGACTGGCCAGCAGACAATGGGAGAAGCATTATGGGGAGCAGCTCATGCAAAGGCCCTGAGGCCTGAAGGACCTTGGTCCATCCATTGGAGGAGCTCTGGGAACATGAGAATGGTCAGTGCCCACAGGAGGGTGGTGACAAGGCCCAGAGACATCTCTCCAAGGAACCAAGCTCATGTTGACATCGATCCAGCCAGCAGGACTGTCCCTCTGTCGCTGAAAGTACAGGAATGGTCAGCAATAATGGCCCTGTCTCTAGCATGTGGGAAGGCCTTGTGCCATCAGGGTAGGCCAGGCTCAGAGCACGGACAGCCTGTGCTGTGCAGGACTGAGCTCAGAGGGTACTTGGAGAGGAAGTGGGCTTAAAGGCTCTGCCAGTCAGACCCAGTCAAGAATTAGCGTCCATCAGAGGCCCAGACACTCATGGTTTTCTTTCCTCATGGGCTGCTGGAGTCCGGTGGGGATGCTAAGGTCCAGGGTGGTGGTGAGGTCTGGGGAACCGTCTAGGCAGTCCCTGTGCTCCTCACGGATGCTGGGTCCCCGTTAAGGACTTGCCAGTTCAGTGTCCGTGCTGTTTCCACTGCCCCTGGGAGGTCTCCGGACTTCTGGAGACCTTGCCTCCCATGGTCTGTGCTCAACGATGTGTGTCTCTGGGGCTGCAGAGGCTGAACCTGAGCACAGGTGGCACAGGTTTGATATTAACTGTGCAGAGACTCCTTCCTGCCATGAGAAGGGAAATGCGATGTGAGATCTGAAGGTCCAGCCCCTCCCCCGTGCAGTGTGCACGCTGCACGCGGCACAAATCGCCCTGCCTGGGATTCAGGAAAACATCCTGAATTTCCTCCCGCAGAGGAGAGCCGTGGCCAAGGCATCGTGCTGCCTGTGGGCGGCGGCCTCACCCTTGGGGACTCAGTGCAGGTCCCCACCTTCTGAGCACTAGCTGCTGTCACTTCCTGACGCCGGCTACTGCCACTGCCGCTCTGTGGGGCCAGCGGGCGCCCGGTCAATGGCAGGCAGGGTCAAAGGGCAGGGCACGCCAGGATGGTGGAACCTGCCTGTGCGCCTAGTCGTGTCACCTGTTTACACCTGCTTGTTTGCACGACCGGAAGAGCCGGCTTCGAGGCTGGTCTGCGCAGGTAGCGTTCGGCAGCTCCACTGGAATTTTCGAGCTGGAAGAGCTCCCGTGTCTCCAGGCTCTCTTGGCTGGCGTCTCAGATTGGGTCCTGAGTCTCTTCTGAGAAATGGTGTAAATGTCCCAGGATGCAAATTCCGCTGCTTGGCCAGGGTCTGGTTGTGAATCACGTGAGCGCTAGCAAGGCGCTGACTCAGAAACGCAGGAGCCCGCGGACACCAGGGCAGGCGCTCTCCGCAGTGACACGCGCAGCCCCGACCCCAGGTGGCCAGAATCTTGCAAAACCTTCTTGCTTCCTGGCGATGCCTCCAGGGTGTGGCTGCTCCCAGTTCACCCCAGACCCCGATCCAGGACTCGCAGCCTGTACACTAAGCCACCTTTCCCATCAGTATCTGGCTCAGGGACCCGGACGGGTGCCCTCCTATGTCCATGTCGGGCAGGGGGGGTGGACCTCTGTGTGTCTGCTGCCCGGTGTCCTCGCTGACCTGGGCTGTGGTGGCCGCGGGGATGCCCGGACCGCCTCCAGTCGGGGGTGCAGGCTGGCAGACCAAAGCGGGTGCTGGGTGGGTGGTGCTGCCTGCCCTCACATCTGCCTGCACATCCCTCCGTCCCTCCTCCCTCCCTCCCGCCGCCTCTCTGTTCCTTTCTCTGTGCCTGACACATGGCACATCTTAAATATTGATAAACCACCCAGCACACAGTTTTCTGTGCACCGAGAGACAAAGGTCTCTGCACGTTGGAAACTGAAATCCCTTTTTCCGAGCACGTGACCGCTGGTCCCTTTAGGTGTTGGCTGATGCGCATGGCTGCATGAGGCACTTTGCACCGAATGACAGCCGCGTCCCTCTGCTCTTTCCGCAGATGAAATCATGCACCAGGACATCACCCCGCTCTGTGCTGCTGACATCCAAGACCAGCTGAAGAAGCGCTTTGCTTATCTGTCCGGTGAGTGCTGGGCCGGAGGGAGGGAGGGGCTGGGGCAGAGCCGGGCTGTCCACATACTGCGGGGACCTAGTCCACATACTGCGAGTTGGGCACGGCCTGCTGTTGATTCCACCAAGGGCCAGGAGACACTGTACGCTGCCCAGGAGGAGGGGGCTCAGGGCTCATTGGCCAGGGGCTACAGGAAGAGACGGCCGGAAGTCAGTTCTGAGAGGGACACAGCCCAAGAGCTCCTGCCTGCAGTCTCCAGAATGTTCCCTCAGCAGGTGCAGTGGGAAAGGGCACAGCTGCCCTCATCCTTGCAGCGTCCTGGGCCAGGGACCTCCCTAGTCCAGCACACCCAGCTTCCGTGGGAGAGGCCCCCGAGCACAGCTGATAGGGGCGAGGGGCTGGCTCTGTCCCACCGGCCTGTTCTGGGGCCCCTGTGTCCCTCGGTCCGGGCTCTGTCTCCACCCTGTAGGATGACCTGCCATCCTGTCTGGCTGTGGTGCACGACCCCAGCCACTGGACGGTGCTGGCACATCCTGGGTGCTAAGGCTGCGATGGCACCTGTGGTGGTGGCCGCCCTCACGGCTGTACAAGTACCCCCGTCAGGACCAGACAACCTGCCCTTCCCAGGCGCTCGGCCCTACTCACAGGCCCTTTCCCCTCCTGAACCCTGAGAGCCAGCCCCGTGCCCCTGGGGCCGCCCTGGCCCTTCTCCCAGGGGCCGGGAGCCACGCCTCAGGCCGCGCCCTAACATGTGGCCCTGGAGCTCAGGCAACCCGGGGGAATCGAAGGTCGTCAGCAGGATGTGGGGCCTCTGGGGGGCTTGTCCACAGTGAGGCACATCGGTCACCGCGAGGAGGGAGGGGTGTCCTTCAGAGAAACAGGAAGCCATCTACAGCACAGGGGTTGTGGCCCACGCCAACAAGACATTCAGTCAAGGGTCTGCGGGCTCCTTCCATTTCCCCAGCCCATCCATGCCTTTCAAGACCCCAAGGTTCACAACTTTAGCGCACTTGTGACCCAGACTAATGACCCTGACCTTCCTCCAGGTTGTAAGCCCACCACCTCTTGACTTGGAGGAGGCAGAGCCCCAGGACCCCTCTGGACACACCTTCTCTCTGTCATTCAAATGCCAGCCAGTGTTTCGGGAGGGGACTGTGCAGGTGTGAGGAGGGTCCTACTTCAGGGCTTCCGAGATCATCCTGGGTAGGCCTGTCCTAGCCGGCTGGGCCTCACAGGGACCGGTGGACCTGAAGGATTCCCAAGATGGGATTTGGCTGAGTTACACTGACGGGGGATCCATCCCAAGGCAGTTCTGCCCCCACCTCACGTCCTACCCACGATTCCTCCGAGGATATGGGTGCTGGCTCAGGGTGAGCCCACCCCCGCCCCATCCATGGTGCACAGGCCTGCTTGCCAATGGGGACCCTCCTCCGGCTCCTGCAGAATTGGGTCTTTGGTGTAATTCCATCAACGTCCATCGATACTTCCTGTGCAGGACGCACCTGAAACACACTGGGGGAATTGCCACAGGGGGCCGCCCGCGTGCGCGTCAGTGTGTGCACTGCTCACGCTGCCCCCACCTTAGCCCAAGACACCCCCTTCATTGATTTGCTGTTAATTCCGGCGGGCAGGGCTGGGGGGGGAGGAGTTCAGAAAGTGTGGCCAGTGGTTCTTTCACCCCACAGAGCGCTGGCTAGACGGGGGCGTCACTCACACATGTGGCATCTCAGGGCCCCTGCGTGCCGCTGGCCGCTCCTCCCGGCAGGGTGAGCCTCCTCCCCGCAGGGTGGGCCTCTGCCCACAGGGTGGGCCTCCTCCCCACGGTGTGGGCCTCCTCCCTGAGGGTGGCCAGGGTCCAGAAGGGAGCTGTGAGCAGGGAGGGTGGACCCCACCGTGTCTGGCAGCCCGGCCTTGGGAGCTACATGGCACCTGGCCTGCAGCCGATGGGCCAGGACAGGTGGCCAGGGCAGGAGAGATGGGTCCCACCCATCAAGTGGCCGTCCACAGCCGCCCAGGGCGCCGACTAGCAGGCAGACATGGAACCTGGGCCCGGGTGATTCGGGCGTGTCGTCAGCCCCTGCCCTGTCCACTGCTTCTCCAGACCGCTTGTGGGACACGTCAAACCACATAGGCCCCAGACTGAATTCAGCCTTCTGCTTGAAGCTCCCATCCCCAGGTCCTGAGCCCCACACCCTTTTCCTCCTTGCTGTGTGTCTCCGCTCAGAAGTGTGCTCTCTGCTCCCTCCCCTGCCACACTGCCAAGGGGATGACCCCCTTAGACCCAAACTGTCTGAAGTGGTTCGTCAGAGACGCACGCAGAGCCTTAGGGCCTCTGGGGTAAGAGACGGAGCGTTGTGCGGGGTTTAAAGCGGCTCACGCATTTACGAGGCACAGAAAACCATGCTTTGCAGTGTTAGCCTACTCGGCGCAGTCTTGGTTCTGTACAACCATGCTCATTTGGGAAGCAACGAGCCGCGTGGGACTGGCTGCCCTGCGGTGGCAGAGTGACAGGTGCCTGTTTGTGCACGCGTCACTCTTCTGCACACGCCAAGTGCTCGCACTCCTTCCCTGATGAAAACCACGCCTGGGCTCAGTGCTGCCTTGCTCTCTCCCCAGGTGGGCGCGGGCAGGACGGCAGCCCGGTCATCACCTTCCCAGACTACCCGGCCTTCAGCGACGTCCCCGACAAGGAGTTCCAGAATGTCATGACCTACCTCACCAGCATCCCCAGGTGTGTGTCGCTGTCAGATGAGGAGGTCCTGCCAAGGGGGCCCAGGGTCCCGCCCAGGTCACACAGCCCACGCGGAGAGGTCGGGGCCAGGGTCCCACTGGACCCTTTCCCCGCTCCCAGCGTCCCGCGTCTGTTACACTGGCAGGGCTACACCGAGCAGGAGGGACACACAACAGGGAGGCCGCAGGGCAGAGGTGGTCGTGAGACCCTCCGGGGCCCGGCCCATTAGTCCCCCTCGTGCTCCTTGCGGCGGGACAAGTGACCCCAGAGGCAACTCCCCTGGCTGTTGGTTCTGTTACCGCGAGCAGAGCTGGGTCCCACCTTCCAGAAAGGCAAGGAGACCTCGTTTGTACCTCAGTGGCCGCGCCGGGCATCCTCCACATCCAGGAGCCGAGAGGCAGACGCCCCACCGCTGGGGGGTCAGCTCTGGGGTGTCCACGGCAGCCCAGAGGTGGTGAGGACGTGGCCCTCACACCCTGACAAGGAGCCAGCACCACGTGGCGTTAGGTGGAGACAGCCTCGCGGGTGACCTGGTTCCTCAGGCAACATCAAGGGCGATGGGGGGGCTCGCCGTAGTGGGGGGGTCCAGGCTGCCACATCCCCGGGGGACATCGTGCTCATTCATTAGCGTTGCTAAGGACAGGTTTCTGAATTTGTGTGGTTTATTGCTCCGCGAATTGTCTAATCCAGAGAACAGACCAAGACAGCAAGTTCAATTGGCTTGTTCCTCTTGCGTGAAAACTGCCAACGGCGATGACCAATCAGCGCTGGAGGGGATGAGAGGGAGGTCGTAGGTTCTTCTAGAACCCGGCAGAGGGGAAGGGAGCACTCTTCAGGGACGTGGGCGCTGGGTGATCATCTGGCAGGAGAAAGATGGGGTCACATCCTGGGTCGCACAGCATCTGCCGTCCTGTCCTTCCAGGCACCAGGTTCTGGGTGGCCGAGTCAGGTGTGGGGACGGCCAGGCCCCGGGAGCCCAGCAGCCTTCCTTACGGCCACTTGGCCAGCTGTGCACCCTTGAGGGGCTTCCTGGTGGCAGCTGCAACACGGCGAAGCATCTCTGTGTGTCTTCCCTCGGTCTCAGGATGAGAGACAGGACGGCCATAGTCAGCCCCATGCTGCCGTCAAGGTCATGGGGCACGAGTAAGGTCACCACACAAGGTGGTGGGAAGATGCTCCCTGTGGTGAGGCATTGAGGGGTGGCCCTTCAGGAGGGACGCCAGGACGCTGGGACTCAAGGACATGGGGACCCAGGACAGGACAGGTGTGGAAATGCTCAGGGCTCCAGGGGAGGGGTGCATGGGGACCGGCCAGCAGGACGGGGCAGCGACTGGAGTGTGAAGTGACTGAACCTGCCAGTGGTTTCAGGGAAGAACAAGTTCAAGGGATTTAAAAAGAAAAGGGGGGACGCCCCATGCAGTCTCTGGTCTCCCAGGTGGGGGCTGTCCTGAGTCCGGGATGAGCCTTGCTGCTGCAGTGACCGCTTAGCGCAGGGCCAGGACCCCAGGGGACTCTGTTTGTTTCAAAAGTCAACAATCAGTTTATGTCTGGAAATGTCAGCACCCAACAGCCCAGGCCTGGTGCGGAGGTGAGCCATGTCCCCAGGCCACAAGCAGGCATGATGCTGGGGTGGGGGCAGCCCTCTCAGACCTTCCAGGCTTGCACGTCTTTTCCCCTGGAGGTCTCTACCCTCACTGAGCCTCAGACCTAATGGCCTCAGGGCCTTTGCACTTGCTGCCCCTTGGTGGACCACCTTTTCATATTCCAGGCCACCTCCTCAGGGAGGCCCTCCATCACCCACACCTAAAGAAAGAAGCGAAAGCCAGCTCTTCCCCCACTCAGGGCCACTTGCCCACCAGGCTTCCTGGAGCTTTCCGAAAAGGTCGTAATTACAGCCTCGTTTTGGTCTGTGTCTGTGAGAGCAGGCAGGTCCGGGACAGCAGGCACGTGCTGCACAAATACACTTCATTTGCAGACAAACCCACCCTGCTTCGCAGACTCCCTCCTATGATCTCTGCAGCCCCTTCTCTCCCCTTCGATGAGGACTGTCATCTTTCCATCCTTTGTCATCCCCAGCAGAATGAGCTCCTTTCACAGGCCTGGGGCGTGGCTCATGTGGTTCACGTGCGAGGGCCAAGGGAAGGGAGTGCTGTGGCTCTGTGGCTCCGAGGTGGTGTGGAGCTGGCCAGGAGGCCAGTTTGCGCATCTCCGTTTCCGGAGACGAGGGTGCACAGTGGGCACAGGCCAGCATGTGCTTTATTCACGGTTCTCCTCTTTCCGGATGAGGACCACGGAAAGCTCCGGGGCTGGAGTGGTGGATCTGGACCTACCACACCCCGCGTGCCCCTTCACCCACAAATAAACCCCCACATAATGAAGCCCAGCGCGCCCTGGTCTCAAAGGACAGCTGAGAGACCCACGGATGTGAGGGGCCCAGAGAAGAGCGGTCAGGTGTTCGGTGCGCGGGACAGGATGCATGGAAGTCAGAGTGTGAGACGGACACCCGCACCTGGGCCTGGAGTCCGGCTGCCTCCACGTGCTGTCAGTCCTGACCCCAGGGTGCCATCGGGGGTGCCAACTCTGAAGAGCAGCTGCGCCCCTGCAGAGAATGCAGCTCTAAAGGGAGGGAAAGTGTGGCCCTCCTTCGGAGCACAGAGCAGCTGCTCGGTGCTCATTAAAAATGTAGGGCAGAAACATGCCCGTGGGGAACGCCAGGGCCCTGTGCCCACATCTTCAGGATGAGGGCCAGCTTGGCACCGGGGTAGGCCCGTGATGGCTGAGAGGCGGCCCTACTGTGCGAGCCCGGGGGAGCCAATTGCTGCATTCTCCCGTGGGCCCTCCCCTGCGTGCCGGGGGAAGGGGCACCACCCACAGATCTCTGTTCTCACCCTTGGGGTCGGAGATGGGTGGCCCCTTCCAGAAACGAGGGAACAGCCCCCACACAGGTGACAGGATGGGATTACAGCCTGGTGTATCCCTTTCCATGTCTGTGCCTGCGGAATGGTCAGATCCCCCACGAGGCCTGCTTCTCGGAGATGTGAACTCAGTCTCTAAACCAAGCTTTAACTCTGTCTTCTAGAGCAACATGTTCGGTGCTGACTTGACTTCCCCTGTCTTATGTGAGTGCAAATGGAGGGAGCCATGGCTGAAGCTGAGAGGTGGATCGTTACGGGCCCTGTAGAAGGCCAGTAGAAGGCCCTGTAGAAGACCCTGTAGAAGGCATTGCGACAGGCAGGCTTTGTCCGTGTGTGTCAGATGTATGTGGTCTTTTGAAGAAAACAGTCACGTGGAAGGACGCTGTGGATCGTGGGAGTGGTCGGCCAGCGCCCAGAGGTGTGGTGGTGGCTCCACGGGCCGCCCTGTGAGCTCTCGCCTAGGTTGAGGCCCTGCCCCCAGGGTGGCCCTGTGACCTCTGCACAACAGAGAGGAAGCCAGGCAGAGGCGCCATGGGCAGGGCACCCCGTCGCTGTCTGTGAGAAATGTCTATGTTCCGGACACACTCAGACCCAACAGTGAACGAAAGGAGTGAAGTCGTGTCGCTTGCGTTCTCAGTAATGAAGTAGGTTGTGCACAGGGGTGTGGATTGTGGAAAGGGAAGAAGGGGGGGAGCGGCCCAGTTGTGGGCTGGGGCCCCCTCAAGAGGGGTGTGGTTGGTTCTCGGTGAAATGGGGCAGCAGGCCTGGGGGAGGGGCTGCAGTCCCTGCTGGAGACAGCAGTGCCGTGGGCCCCAGGTTCGCAGGGAGCAGTCACCTGAGAAGGGAAGGTTTGGGCGTCATGGGCATTGTCAGGTGTGGAGTGGGGGTGAGGAGGGGAGCCCCCAGGTGTTCCAGCTGGAGCAGCCGCCTGCATCCTGTGGGCCATGTGGGGCCTGCAGCTGCTTAGGGACTGGGCCCAGGTGTCCTGGCTGCAACAGTGCACGGTGTGGTGTCCCGGCTTGTGTCCAGGCTGTGACAGTGCATGGTGTGGTGTCCCGGCTTGTGTCCTGGCTGTGACAGTGCATGGTGTGGCCACCTGGCTGCTGGGAAGGATAGCTAGAGGACAGGTTGCTCAGAGGGAGTCTCCCGGCCGCGGGCGGTTGAGACTGTGGTAAGGACAGCTCCTGTGGAGGGTTCAGCGCAAAGAAATGACCATTGGAGCAAATTTAACAAAAACGGGAGGAGTGGACTCTGAGAAGAGGCAGCCACCTCCTCAGGGTGGCGCTACCCCGCGGAGCAAAGGGATGGGCCAGTGAGCTGGGGGGAGGGACGCAGTCCAGGCCCTCCCGAGACAAGAGAATAACCACACGGTTGTGCTGGAGAAACTACATCACAAAGGCAAAGAGGAGTGGTAACGATTTGATTTCTTTTACGTGTAACCCTGTCTTTGTGCACTGGCTCAAGTCCGTTACTGCACATACCATGATCTGGGTTACAGGCCTGTCCAGGGGGCAGATGCCCCAGGCTCTGGCGCTGACCTCTGGGCCCCTCTCCTTCCCATGGTTCCCGACCCGGGACCCCCTTCCCCCTGCATGCTTCCAGACCCTGA